TTTTTTTTAATCAGGTTTTTGCTTAAAATTGGTGGATGCGCCGGGAAAATTTGACAGGTCAATATCTATTTTTATTAACATGAGAAATTAATTGCGAAAGTTTTAAAAGCAATATTAAATGTGTAAATTATTATTATTTTCAAGTAGGTTTTTAATAAAATTGAAAAATGTGTTTTTTTTTAAATTATGTAGTTTATCTAAAAACATTGCTATTTTGTGATTTGCCTAAAGATTTGTTTTTAGTTGCTTTTTTGTGCATTGATAGAAATGCACTAGAAAACAAAGTAAAAATTGTTTTTTTTTGAAGTCAGATTTCTGCTTAAATTGGTGGATGCGCCGGGAAAATTTAACATTATGAAAATTTTTATATTAAATGTGTAAATTATTATTATTTTTAAGTTGGTTTTTAATAAAATTGATAAAACATTTCAAAAAAATGTGTATTTTTTTAAATCATGTTATTTATTTAAAAATATTGATATTTTGTGATTTACCTGGAGATTTGCTTTTAGTTAGTTTTTTGTGCATTGGTAGAAATATACTGAAAAACAAAGTAAAAATTGTTTTTTTTAAAAGTCAGGTTTCCGCTTAAGATTGGTGGATGCGTCGGAAAAATTTAACATTATAATTTTTTTTTTTCAAACTTTCCAACTTTTGCTGACTCTAAGACATTTCTGTTTTGAAAGTGTATTCTTGATTCCAATTTTCGATAAAACATTAATCAAGGCGGGCATTTTTCGACTTCTAAGATAAAGCGTTGTGGAACCCAAGCTGCCCTTAACAATTTGTTGTCAATTCCTCCCCCTATTGAAACTTTTGTTTGTTGTGTTGGCTGCAAATCTCCATTCATTAATCTCACTAATGGTTGTGGTCTAAAACAGACATTATTTAGTCGGATGGAGGTTTTTTTTGTAAAATGGCCGTTTCCAAATTGCGTAACTCTAACTAAATAATGGAACACAAATAATGACATTGCTCCATTTGATCCTCATTATGAAACAACGAAGTTTCTTATTCTCTGTTATTTTACTGAATCTGACGTTGGAAAAAACGAACCTCCTCTGTAATTGCAAAGGATAATCGTGCTGAAAATCGGTTGTTTGCAGAGATGTAATAAATGACTTTAGCGTATTTCGATTTCTATTAATTGAAATTTTAATGAAATTGTGGAAATGGGACGATCTGATTGTGCTACCTCTATTGTAGTTTGTTGTAGTTTTGATGTTTGTTGTTGAATGCAAAACTATTATAGTTTATAGATGATCAAACAGATTTCTAAAATTAAGGAATTAAATTTGTTACATACCTATAAATGTGCTATGAATACAGTGTCAATGGTAAAATGTATATGGTTAGGTTACCTGCATATGACACGCTGCTATTATTTTGTTCGACAAAGATATTTCCTCAGGCCATTTTAATTAATATTTTTATACCTAACAAAGGACGTTCAAATTGCATTTCTTTTGTTAAACTTTTGCAATGTTTACATTGTTAACTTCAAAAATGAACGTACAAATTTAAATGTTTATGAGTTTTTTTCATAAAGTAGCGAAGTATTGTCTATTGCCGGCATTTTTTTTAAAGTTAAGCTTTTGTTTCCGATTGGTAACAACAAAGAGTCGATTACGTTTATGGTTTTGGAAACACTTCCTAACGTTTTTCCAAAACACGAAATCTATTTTTTTATTAATTAAGATCCAAAAATATCTATTTAAAAAATGTAAACCGAGTTTTGCAGTCATAGACAACAGCATTTAAAAAATAACAAATGCAAGATTTGTGTTTTGAAAACATTAAAATTTTGTCTGTGAAATTTTTTACTCCACCAATCTTAAACGGAAACCTGACATTTAAAAAAAACAGTTTTTACTTTGTTTTCTACTGTATTTCTATCAATGCACAAAAAATAACTAAAAGCAAATCTCCAGGTAAATCACAAAATATCAATGTTTTTAGATAAACATAATTTTAAAAAAATACATATTTTTTTGAAGTGTTTTATTAATTTTATTAAAAAAACTACTTAAAAATAATAATAATTTACACATTTAATATAAAAAAAAATTATGTTAAATTTTCCCGGCGCATCCACCAATTTGAAGGAGAAACCTGATTAAAAAAAACAATTTTTACTTTGTTTTAGAGTGCATTTCTATCAATGCACAAAAAACGAACTAAAAACAAATTTCCAGGTAAATCACAAAATACCAATGTTTTTAGATAAACATAATTTTTAAAAAATACACATTTTTTTTGAAGTGTTTTATCAATTTTATTAAAAACCTACTTAAAAATAATAATAGTTTACATTAATATAAAAAAATATGTTAAATTTTCCCGGCGCATCCACCAATTTTAAGCAGAAACCTGATTAAAAAAAATAATTTTTACTTTGTTTTCTAGTGCATTTCTATCAATGCACAAAAAACTAACTAAAAGCAAATCTCCAGGTAAATCACAAGATATCAATGTTTTTAGATATACATGATTGAAAAAAAAACACATTTTTTGGAAATGTCATCAATTTTATTAAAAACTTATTTAAAAATAATAATAATTTACACATTTAATATAAAAATTTTCGTAATGTTAAATTCTCCCGGGCATCCACCAATTTTAAGCAGAAACCTGACTTAAAAACAATTTTTACTTTGTTTTCTAGTACACTTCTATCAATGTACAAAAAACCAATTAAAAACAAATCTCTAGGTAAATCACAAAATATCAATATTTTTAGATAAACAACATAATTTTTAAAAAAATACACATTTTTTTGAAGTGTTTTATCAATTTTATAAAAAAACTACTTGGAAATAATAATAATTTACATATTTAATATTGCTTTTAAGACTTTCGCAATTAATTTCTTATAATAGTGAAAATAGATATTAACCTTTTAAGACTCAGGTCCAAATTTATTTTAGATGTAGAAAAGTTAAGAAAACAAATATAAAACAAACATTTAACAAACATATTTAAAAAATGTAAACCGAGTTTTGCAGTCATAGCATTTAAAAAATAACAAATGCAAGATTTGTGTTTTGAAAACATTAAAATTTTGTCTGTGAAACTTTTTACACAAAAAATGAAATAAAACTGAGACTTTGGATTTTTGGCCAAGTCGCAGAATTGATTCGAACATTTCAGCACAAATCACAGAAATTAACAATACAACTTTCTTAAACAATTCTGTATTCGCGCTTTTATCTCCTGAAACCGTTCACTTCAAAGCCAACATTTTACGAGTATTTAAATTCTGTTTCTTTCTCCAATTAACGTCTCGATATCACCCCACATCATCAAACTTTCCAACCCTGACTCGACATAGCATGCAAATAGTTACTCCCATTCGGAATTCCATTTCAGTTAAACTCGAACTTACTTTTGTCAAATTCTCAAAATTCTCGGTTCCTTCACCCAGGATACAAATTTAGTGTTGTGCCTCCTTGTGCAGGTGAAGAAAGGCGCCGGCGCATAATGAATGAACGTAGTAACAAGAAGACTGCATCGAGTGAAGAGCGTCAGTGACGCCGCGACGTCCACGCGTTTTCACGTCTTGTGTAAGCGCGTCTCGCAGGACGAAAAACCACGTGCAGGACGAATTTCTTTTATGGGAGGCGGCTGAAGAGAATTGTAAGTTTTACGTCGGGGGCGGAAATGGTGGGATTTGGGGTTGATATGACCCTATTTTTAGGTTGTTTTAATTGTTTGTTAATCTTTTCTAATTAATGCCTTGGGTTGGTTAGGCCGACACGGGTCAGGAAATGAGTTTTGTAGATATTGTATTTAAATAAATTATGAAGGGTTTTATCTCGACGCTTTTAGGGGCCAGCACAAAGAGTGTTATTAGAGATTTTCATTCTTTATGAGGACAGATTAGATCTCGGGTTTTTGCTGCTGGTGTGGGCTTTTTGGTTACTTAGAAGTTATTAATTTTTCAGACAAACTCTATGAAAATCATTTCGATTATTCAGTTTACGAATGCATGAATAATGTAATCATTACATTATGCTTACCTTGTACAAATATGACTTATTTTGAATTATATATACGTGTAGTTATAGAAATCAATATTTAGTTATAATTATCAGTAACGTAACAAACAAAAACATGAATATAAGCACATGTAATTTCTTTATTTCTTGTTATTTTATTACTGTTTAGCGTGACTGTTAATTGTTTGTAATTTTGGGTTTGTTCTTTTATGCATGTGGTTTGTGGGACTTTCGAATGGTTTTTTAAAGGCGGATTTGACTATTTTATAGCAATAGTGAAAATCAAGTTTGTAATTAAAATATTTTTTTGTAATCGGTTTTTGAAATTATTTTTTAAATTTTGTTATGGTTAGAAAGTAATGGAGCTATTTGTATTAAAAAAAAATAGTAAA